TCTCTACACAGAAAACATGATTATCATATTTTCATATTAAAAAAATAACATGGTTATTGGGTGTGTGCTATTGAAAATTATTACAAACTTGATTGTCATGAAATCTAAATTACATTTACAACAAACTGTAGCTGTAACTGTGTCACCTGGATTCAGTCAGAAAAGGGGGAAAAAACAAAAACACTTTTGTGTCACTGCATGTTAAACTTGCATGAGGCAGGACTGATGTATTTTCAATTTGTACTCAATATGTGGGGCTTCATTATGTACATTTATACTGAAACGCAGAGGAGGAGCCTGAGAATCTGACAGATATATATATATATATATAAAGGTGTTTTTCAATCTTTCATCCACAAACACTCAAGGCACAACGCAAACGGTGAGTTACTGTTTTATTCTTCATTCACCTCACAGAACATTCAGACATCTATACAATTTGAAAAATAGACCTATGAAAATGTTTATATTACTTTTTTTTTTAGATAAATCGAATCTGTGATTTACTGAGGAGAGATTGAGAAGATGGCAGTAAGTTCATCAATAACTCTACAATCAAGAAGTCTACGTTTTCCCATTCATTTCTGTGTAAAGTTAATCTCTTTCTCTGTGTCTCATGTAGATGTTGGTATTTTTGGTGGCTTTTCTTCCGGCTGTACTGATGAGCGAATGCAGACATGATGATGAAATGCTGGTCGACTGTTCTGAAATTTATAAATCAGGACAAACGCTTGGTGGGATTTATACCATTTATCCAACATCGGACATTCCTGTCAGGGTTAACTGTCACATGATCACATGTGGGAGTGATGAAGACAGTGGAGGATGGACGGTACGAATGTGACTCTAGATCATTAAACACCCATCAGCACATTCATTATGAATCATATATTCTCTATAAACCCATCACAGGTGATTCAGAGGAGAATGGACGGCGGTGTGAATTTCTATCAGCCGTGGAAAGAGTACAAGAGAGGATTTGGAAATGTGAAGGGAGAATACTGGCTGGGTAAGATCTCACAGCGTTTGTGTGGATGTGTGGATGTTCATGTCCAGCAGGGCCCAGGCATTTTTTGGTCCAGGCGGCCCACCACCATTTATATATATATAAAATGATAGGCCTATACACTACCAGTCAAAAGTTTTTGAACAGTAATATTTTTAATGCTTTTTAAAGATATCTCCTCTGCTCAACAAGTCTGCATTTATTTGATCCAAAATACAGCAAAAGCAGTAATATTGTGAAACATTTTTACTATTTAAAATAACTGTTTTCCATTTGAATATATTTTAAAATGTAATTTATTCCTGTGATTTCAAAGCTGAATTTTTTGCATCATTACTCAAGTCGCATGATCCTTCAGAAATCTTTCAAATATTATGATTTGCTGCAAAAAAAACAAAACAAAAACATTTATTATTTGTATTATGTTGAAAACAGCTGAGCAGAATTTTTCAGATGATGAATAGAAGAGCATTTATCTGAAATGGAAATCTTTTGTAACACTATGAATGTCTTTATCGTCACTTTTGATCAATTTAAAGCATCTTTGCTA